CCCCAAAACCCCAAAACCCCAAAACCCCAAAACCCCGCAATCATAATTTATTTGAAATTATGCCAATGGAATTATTAAATTTTAATGAAAGCCATAAGCATATTATAGAGATTCAATATCGTTTCCCACTTTTAGCTTAGAGTAACTAGTCTACCTTTTATAAGTCGAAGAAGCTTTTCTGTTTAGAATAAGATTCCACTGCCCAAAATACAAGTTGACAATACAGATATGAATACCGATGGAAAAATTATCGATGAACAATAAGAATAGATTCAAGCAAAAATTTCAAGAGATCATTTGATTAGCAAAGAGAACCCATTTGCAAAACTCTAAGCAGACAATTAGTATTATTTTTCGGAAAAGACTGGCTTCAATCCAGATGATTAAAGCGGTACCTCTAAATCAAATATGAGTGGATCACACATTTCAGGTACCAAATATAAACATTTTTAGACTCACTTTTATAGATTTTTATTCCATTCCAAAGTTATCCAAGGTTGAAGCTGATGCAATTATGCGAGAAATTTCTTAAGACTTGGATTAGATTTAAACACCCTCTAAACTTGTTGAATCACTTGATAAATATATTGTTTCACAAGCTAAACCAAAGAAAATTATAGCATAAGCAATTAGAAACAAATACAGAATGAGAATGATAAGTGGAGAATTAAGAGAGTCTATGAGACCAAGCAATATTTTAGTTCATGGTAGATCGGGGTCTGGAAAGACAGAAATTTTTAGAAAAATAGCAAAACTATATAATGCTCCATTTATTAGTGTTGAAGCTACTAGATACACTGAAGTGGGATATCACGGCGAGGATATTACAAATATTATAGTTGATCTGTATAAAAAGAGTACGTGAAATTTACCTTCATTTTAATTCCCTTCTTTAGCTCATGCTGAGATCACTAATAGAGAAGGTTTTGAAATATTTAAAGGCTCTAAGACAGTAAATTATCCTCCTTTTATATCAGTTATAGTTGTCGAATATAGTAGAGTACCATATCTTAAAACTTATTTTGGGATATAATACTAAGGACAAGGATAGATTCCTTTAGAAATAAATGTAGTACAGAAATGGGGAGTTAGATAACTATTAGTGTTTTATCTTAGTCCCTGGCGATAAAAACAACATTTAACAGTTCACTTTCATAAAAGTTTAGGATATTAGAAAATACATGTATGAGGTTTATACAGATGAGCTCTTCCAATTAATTGATTTGGATTAGTATATAAGAACTGAGATTGAACAGAAAGGTATCGTATTTATTGATGAACTTGACAAACTTGTGAAATCTGTAAGTTTAAATTTAGCTGGTTAATTTAAAATTTAGCCAGAGAGTAGTGCAACAACTAAGGCAAGTGATGAAGGAGTTCAATATGATTTATTACCAATCCTTGACGGAACAACTGTTCAAGTGAATCCCAGTAAGAGTAATATTCCAACAATAATTAAAACTAGAAAATTCTGAATAAAAGATAAATACTCGCAATATCCTCTTTGTAGGAGCAGGGGCCTTTGAAAAAGTAAAGCCTACAGATTTAGCCATCGAACTACAAGGAAGAATGCCCATAAAAGCAAAGATGGAGACTTTAACAAAAGATGATTTTGTTAAGATTTTAAAAGAAACTGAGCATAATTTGCTAATATAGGCTATAGAGCTTTTAAAAATTGAGAGGGTAAACTTGGTTTTCTCAGATGATGCAATTGAATAAATGGCCTAGTTATCGGTAGAGCTTAATCAAGAGGATGACATTGGTGCAAGAAGACTGAGAACTGTCGTAGATGCAGTACTTGAAGATATAAACTTTGAAGCACCAGATTTTGAACAGAAAGACGCTTTGTAAGGTTTTTAATATCTTAAAGTTTTAGCATATTGATAACAAAGGATTATGTAGAAGAAAAAGTAAAGACACAATTTTAGAACAGAGATTTCAGAAATTACACTATGTGAGATTGTTGGGAGTTTAAAAATGTGTTTTCTTTTAATATTTTTAAATTTGGAATCTTTCAAATTTTAATAATTAATTTTTTTAAAAACCCTATAAAATAATATTTATGTTAATGGGGTTTTGGGGTTTTGGGG